GGACCGAGTCAAGTACTGCCCCCCTATGTATGTGACCCTTTGGGAGGGCTCGGAGATTGATTTGGAGAGGTTGATTTGAAGCCCTAAATCACTCAGGAGGGACAGGGTCAGACTGAGGTTGTGGAGCGCTTTGACACAAGACGGGGATACTAGGAGCCAGTCTTCTAAATAAAGGAACACAATGACACCTTGGAGGACGAGATATGCTGCTACAGGAGCGAGACCTTTTGTAAAGCCCTGTTGGCAAAATGGTATAGCTTTGAACTCACATGTTGTTCCTTGAAAAGTGAACCTGAGGAATCTGCAGTGATCTAGACGTTAGTTTATGTGAAAATAAGCACCTTTTAAATCTATGACCGTAAATGAATCATCCTGTTGGAGTAGCTGGATGGTAGTGTCCATAAGAAAACGTTGTGGGGTGATGTAACCATTGAGGTGGTGGAGCTCTAAAATTGGTCGTAGTCCGCTGTCCTTTTTAGCTGTCCTTTTTTGGAAATGTAAAGTAACAAGAGTAAAATTCTGGGGCAATGTCTGCCTGTTGAACTAGAGTGATGGCATCTTTCTGTAGTAGGGAGCATATCTCCTCTTCCAGAACGGGAGAAGGGGTGGTGCTTTTGAAGAGCCCTGTTGGTGGGAAGCAATCAAATTCGACTGCATAGCCTACAGCGATTATGGTGAGGACCCAGGTGTCTGAAGTGATGCATCACCATGCCTGTAGAAAAGGTGCCAGCCATGTGTGGTAAGTATCTGGCGTTGGTGGCGGTGGGGTAGCTGTGGAGGGTTGGGGAGTCATTCTGCTTTGTCTTCCTCTCAGGTCTACGGACAGACTAACATGGGCGTTGTCTGGCAGTCTGCTGGTGGGAAGAGAAAGTAGGCGCATTGGATATGTGTGGCCATCCATTGGTGATCCACCTGAGGTCTATACTGTTGGCAAGTATAGGGGCGATGCCAAAAATTCCATGGGCAATACTGCTGAGTGTTATATGATCTTGCTGCTTTCCTCAGTTTTTGAAGGCTGTCTAGAATTTCATCAGTCTTGTCATCTTAAATACTGAGGCCATTAAAAGGTAGGACTTCGGCTCTGGACTGTGCATCATCAGAAATACCAGGAAGGAGAGGCCACATTCAAATCTTCTGAAGCCACCTGGAGAATGGGTAGTACTTTGTTCCAAAGGTAGCGATGGTAGGCTCCAACTGCAGCTATATAATTAGCTACCTGAAGGAAGGCGGAGGAGAGAAAATAAACCCGATGCTAGAATTTCATCAGTCTTGTCATCTTAAATACTGAGGCCATTAAAAGGTAGGACTTCGGCTCTGGACTGTGCATCATCAGAAATACCAGGAAGGAGAGGCCACATTCAAATCTTCTGAAGCCACCTGGAGAATGGGTAGTACTTTGTTCCAAAGGTAGCGATGGTAGGCTCCAACTGCAGCTATATAATTAGCTACCTGAAGGAAGGCGGAGGAGAGAAAATAAACCCTATGCCCTATGACACCCAGCTTCCTCCCTTCATGGTTGTTGGGAATGGAGGCAGAGCTTTTGATGGAGGCAGAGCTTTTGCAAGCTCTATTTTGTGTAGCACCCACAATAAATGAGTTAGGAAGAGGATGTTTATTAAAGAGAAAGGTGGTAGTGGCACCATGGGTCTTACACAGGTTTTAGATTTTCCTGGATATCTGAGGAACAGAAGATAAGTTTCTTCCATGATTCCTTTAATAAGTTTGAGAAGAGACAAGATGAAAGCTAGGCGAAGTGGTGGAGTCTGATCCTGCATAATATCTTTGTAGACTTTGTCAGACTCTTCTGGTACTGGTTGATTGACAGCAAGGTCCATGACCTTAGCAATACGGAGAAATCAGCTGGGTGTATGATGTTAATTCCTCCGAAGGAGAGGGAGGGTAGTTCTCCGCAATGTCAGAGTCTCGTGTGGGAATATTGGGTGGTAAATCTCCCCTGGTTTCGATATCAGAATAGTCAGTGTTGGTATCAAAATGGTCGGGAAGTTGATCTGGAGATGGAGAAAGGTCCTGCGCCTAGCCGATACCGAAGGACAATTGGAAGGTTCCTCAGGTGGTAATGGGTAATGTTTACCCTTTGTTTTATTGGACTTTTGTAGGGATGCCTAGTTGGCATCAGTATCAAGTGAGTCTGGAGGTGCAATTGTGTTCATTTGAAACTTGGAGCAGTTCTTTTTTTGCGGGAAATAATGACTGAGACCTTTCTGAAACTTTAACAAGGCATCAGTATCAAGTGAGTCTGGAGGTGCGATCGTGTTCATTTGAAACTTGGAGCAGTTCCTCTTTTTTTGCGGGAAATAATGACTTAGACCTTTCTGAAACTTTAACAGCTTTATTTTCATTAACTTTTGGCGATTCCACAACCGCTTCTAGTGGATCAGAACAGCTTAAATTTGGCAACTGTCCACAACGTGATGACGTAAACTTGGTTTATAGAGACAGACAATTCACTGGGGGGCTGGACCAAACCACTCCTGATCCGTAGGGTTTCTCAGTGGGGCACTCCGTACCACACATATTGTCCCACAGCACAGATGTGGAGCCCAGTCTCCTTCTTTTGGGGGTTGGTTGTACGTCTGGTCCCACCAGATTACTTTCTTTCCACGTCCTCTTCCCCACAGAAAAACGACTACTGTCCATTCTAGTGTCTCAAACATTGTTTCTCCCTTTCCTTTTAATTCTGGATCAGGTAGTAGTCCACCAAGCTTCAAGTTGGGGAAATCTTTCAAAAGCCAGCACATTTTCTCATAGGTAGATTTGACTCCTTTCCCTTTTCTATCCTCCTTTACTCTTATCATCTCCCTTTCTGATATACTGAAAAACCTCTTCTCCCCTTTCTTTTATATCTTCTTCTCACACTGATACATTTAACTCCTCTTTTCTTCTTTCTCCCTCCTCTACTAAACAGATCTCTACTTTTCCCCTTTCTTCTTTTGATTCTAACGCTCCCTTTTTCTCTATCATTACTTCTTTTTGTTCAATTATTTCTCCCTCCCTTTATTCCCTTCTCATGCTCAGGTGTTTCTATTCGTGAGGATGGCTCACTCTGTTCTTTTTTCCCTTTTTCTATCTCTCCTTCACAGTAGAATAAGCACTGAGAATGCCCGTCGGAAAGAGTTATTTTATTCAGGCAAGATTAGCACCTCTTGAAGATGTCCAAAGAGGCCATAAAAGATATTACAGTGGTGCCTCGCTAGACGATAATCCGTTCCACTGAAATCGCTGTTTAGCAAAATCATTGTCTAGCGAAAAGCATTTCCCCATTGGAATGCATTGAAACCCGTTTAATGCCTTCCAATGGGGGAGAATTGTCGTTGTCTAGCGAAGATCGGCCACAGGAAAGCCACTTTGGGAAACGGCGATCAGCTGTTTAAATCGCTGTCTTGCGAAGCTTAGGTACCGAAAACACCTGTTTGCGAGTGCAGAGGGAGCTGTCAAAATCGTTGTTTAGCGAAAATCGTTTTGCGAAGAAGGGACCAAACATTGTCCAGCGAAATTCCCCCATAGGAATCACTGTTTTGCGAATCGCTATAGCGATCACAAAAAGCCAGTGTCTAGCGAAAAAACTGTCATGCGGAGTACGTAACTGTCTAGCGAGGCACCACTGTAGTTTCCTCTCTCTCTCTCTCTGTCTTTTTTTAATCCACAAAATAGAGAACAGAATACGAGGGGCGTCTTGAAGAGATCGTACTATCTTTCTTTTTCTTTTCTACAGAATGAACAGAAGCTCTGTAGCCACGGTGGTGCTGCTGCTGGAGCAGTGGTAAAAAAGGAACTGAGGCACTCTGTGCCATGGGGCAGGGCAAGTCCTAATGGACATGTGTAAAAGCACTAGAAGTTTCTGAGAATCTCTGCACAGGCATATGTAAACTTAATTTGTGTGCATGCACAGAGATGACAAATAAGAACCTATCACTATCTTATATTTTCATATGTGTGCTGTGTGTGTAGAGTAAGGGAGCTCCTCTATTGAAAGTATCAAAATGAAGGCTACATGCCTCTTGGAGACCATTTTTTTCCTTGAACAAACAAGTAACAGTTGTGGGCTTATTTACAAGGTTACCCTAGGTACTAAGGCCAGGTAAGTCTCTAGGTTTTTTGCTGGTGGGGGGAGCGTTATGTCAAGTCAACCAATAACCCACAGGGGATGAGATTTTAGCAGAAGCCAACTGGACAGGCTATCCTGGTGTACCCAATGTATTCGGCAATAAATTCTTCCCTCTTCCTTACTCCTTCCCTTTAAAAAAAACACCTATGTGCTGAATTTTACTGTCAGTACTACAACCACAAAGTGCAACAATGTGTTACCTGCTTAATCTCCTGCACACGAGTCCTGCAGAACAGTGCACTACTGCTTAGGAGACCTGTAATGTCTACTAGTCTGTGGACAGCCCAAGGTCTAGCACTGTTGCAGACTTCCCATGAAATATAATATGAAACGCGATTACTGATGCAGATGCCATTCATTCTCTTAAAAGCAATGCTTTTAGCAAGCACAGTCCCCTAAATCCATCTGCACTTACTTGAGCATTCTTCCATTTTTTAGCACAGAAATATATGAAGCACCAGAACACAAGCTGCAAATCAGCCTGTTTTTGTTTGTTTGTTTGTTTGTTTGTTTGTTTGTTTATTTAATATCCCGCCTATCTGGACTATAAGTCCACTCTAGGCGGCTTCCAGCATATAATAAGAATAAAATACAATTAAAAAACATGTGCATAAACATAAATAATAAACGTTCAGTCATTGAAAGAAAAGCAAAAGATTCACTGGCAGGCTGACTGTGTGGATACAGTGCGCTGAAAAGTCAGTTTTTGGAGGGGTAACGTCCTAATGGCATAGCTGGCATCTCATCTATTTCCACTCTCCATAGCACAGGAGAGGAGAAAACCACATGGTATTCTCAAACGTTGTATTTCAACTCAGTAATCCCTCCGCGTCCACTACAGTAAGGAGACCAAACAAACCCACGTAAAACTTACAATTAAGTCTGAGAGATGGTCAGAACCAGAGCTGAATCCACTGGTGTCAGAGTCTGAGGGGCTGCTGGAGCGGGAATACAGGAGCGAACGGCTGCTATCCAGGCGAGAGCTCCTCAAAGCCGAGGCTGGAAGATTCTCTGTCAACTCAGAGCCAATGGGATCCAGTGGCAGGAAACCCAAGGGGGGCTTCCCCAGAGGATTGCTCAGCATGTTAAGAACTGGGAACAAGACAAAAAGTAATGACTTAGGTATAACGCCTTTTGTTTCCCTTTGGATTAGATGATACTTGTGCAGTCCCCCTCCAAAAGGAGAGGGAACAAAAGCCTCAGTGTTTAACTAAATGTGCTAAGATTCTTCAAAGTAGGTGCTTTATCTATTAACAAATACATTTATTTCAGTACTCCTAGCCACAAAGATTAAAAATGAATTGCTATATCCTAGTGTGGAGCTTTCCCAGCCCAGTAGCAACAGGGTCACTGGCAGACTGCTGGTGGTTTAAGAGTTCCTTTTCCAGATTCAAGGTGAGTGCAACCCCCACGCAATGAAACAAAAGTCTCTCATGCTCTGAAATTTTAAAAAAGGAAGTACTCAACGATGTAGCAGCAATCTGCTGCTCACAGTGACATCATTCGTTCTGTTCAGGCACCATATTCCGGGGGGGGGGGGGGACGAATAAGCCAATGTATATAAGCAGCTGCTTTAGCTTTCTTGCATGGTAGCTGCTGTTGCCCCATTGGCCAACACAGGCAGTATCTGTGCCCTATCATAGTTGAGCACTCAAGGGAAATCTTACAGAGCATTTATCACTAACTGGAATGCTCAATCAGCAACTCAAACAGAGAAGACACATTAGCAGGCCCCACAGATGAGAACACCTGTCTTGCACCAAGAAAAAACTGTATGCAGCAAGTGGCAAGGTAGACTCATTACCTGGAAGACTACATGAAAATACCTTAATGCAAGGCACATACCTACCCACTTCCTGAAATTGGTACAGGCCACCAATACCTCCAACCTCATCATCTTGCTGTGCACACAGCTGTTCCAAAGCATCTTCTAAAGCAGACTGGGAATCATAGTGTCTGCCCTCAACCTATCCAAGATCCTAGTGGAATCCCCAGTCCTACTCCTAACAACAACAAAAAAGCTGAAATACGGACAATCCCCCAAAGGATATGGTTAGCCTTTCTCTCTGTTCCACCAATCTCACTGGTGCATTTCGTGGGGACACAGGAGAGGGCTTTGTCTGTCACTGATCTCAGACTCTGGAACTCCTTCCCTCTGGAGCCCAGGCTGGTCCCACCTTTCATAAAATTATAGAATAATGAGGTTGGAAGGGGCATATAAGGCCACTGAGACCAACCCCGTTCAGTGCAGGAACACAAATCAAAGGATATCTAACAGATGGTTATTTAAATTTCTCTTGAATGCCTTCAGTCTTGGAGCACTCACCACCTCTCGAGGTCATTGGTCTTACTGCTCTCTAACAGTCTTACTGCTCTAACAGTTAGGAAGTTTTTTCTGATATTCAGCCTAAATCTGGCTTCCTATAGCTTGAGCCCATTATTACAATGTTCTGTACTCAGGGATGATTGAGAACAGATCCTCTGTATGATTGCCTTTCAAGTATCTGAAAAGTGCTATCATGTTTGATTGCCTGCTTTATTTTCTAAGTGCTTGCACAGTGACTGCTTTATAATCTGTTCCAGAATTTTCACTGGGATTGATGTCAGACTGACTGCTCTGTAATTCCCAGGTTCCTCTTTTTTTAAAATCCTTTTTGAAGATAGGGACAACATTGGCCCTCCTCCAGTTGTCTGCCATCTCACCCATTTTCCATGACTTCCAAGAAAATAATGAACAGTGGTTCTGAAAGTTCTTCAACTTGTTTCCTCGATACTTTTGGATGCAGTTCATCCGGCCCTGGAAATTTGAATTCATTCAAGATAATAAAGTATTCCTTGACTATTTGTTTATCAATCTCCAGCTGCAATCTTGTCCCCTCCACCTGCATTTCACATTTGTCTGGAGGTTCACAGTCTGGCCTTTGGGGAAAGAAAGAGCTAAAATAAGAATTCAGCGCTTCTGCTTTTTTTTTTAGTCTTGTTATCATTTTTCCATCTTCATTGAGTAGCTGGGCCTCTTTTTCTTTCCTTTGTCTTTTGGTCTGCACATACCTGAAGAATGCTTTTTGTTGCTTTTAGTGTCTCAGCACATTCACAACTTTTGCCCTCCTAATGCCATCTTTGCAATTCCTTGCTACTTGTCTGTACTCTTCTGATGTGGCCTGGACTTCTTTCCACTTCCTATACAGTGGTGCCTCGCATAGCGAGGTTAATCCGTTCCGGATTAACCTTCGCTATGCTGAAGCATCGCTGAACGGGGCAGCGATTTCCATTGGAACGCATTAAACATTGTTTAATGCGTTCCAAATGGGCCAAATGCTCACCGTTCAGCGATGCTTCAGGATGGCCGGCAGCCATTTTCGCGCCCTCGCCTCGCTTAACGAGGGCGCGAAAACGCTGCACGCGGCCATTTTGGCCCATTTCCCGGCTTCCGGCGGCCATTTTGGCCGCCGAACAGCTGATCGGCGGGGTTCGTTTTGCGAAGATCGGTAAGCGAAACGCTTACCAGTCTTCGCAAAGCGAATTTTTCCCCATTAAAAAAACGTTGAGCGATCGCATTAGCGATCCGAAAAAACGGATCGCTATGCGATTTCATCGTTATACGGTGCGTTCGTTAAGCGAGGCACCACTGTACATGTCTTTTTTTTCAGGTCCTCTCTGAGCTTTTTGTGAAGCCACACTGGCCTTTTTTGCTGTCTCCCATCTTTTTTCCCCTTGTGATTATTGTTTGTAGTTGTGCCTTTAAAATCTCCTTTTTCGAAACTCCCGCCTTTATTGGACTCCTTGTTTGTTTGCTTAACTTATATGCCGCCTGTGATGACCTGTGTTTTTATGAGATGCTAGAATGGGTTTTGTAGTCATAATATTGTTTTGACAGCATCCATCTTGATTTAAAGTCTGCTCTGTAGTAGGAAAGTTTTTCATGCTGTTTCAGAGAAGCTTCGCTCTCTGGTTATCTCGCTGCTAAGATGAGTAGAGAGCAGAGACTTTCGTAGTCAAAATAATTCTGCCACAAAATATGATAACAACTCTCAAGCTCCCATGAGAAAGTTAGGCGGGACAACAAGACCCAGGAGGGGGTGTTCCTTATGAGGAGTTCTGGGAAGAAGAAGGAAGTTGGTAAGGAGTTGGAAAAAGATGGAGTTGGACTGAGAAAGGACAGACACGTGCTTTTTCCCAAAATGGATTCTAACTTTTGGATTATAACTGGTATCTAACTTTTCCTGGTGGATCATGGACTATGGAATCACAGGAACGTAAGAATGACTATGCTTATGCATTATTCTAACTTAGAATGCTTTTAATTATTTTATTTTTCCAGCTGGAGTGGTGGGGGTGATCTGTCTGCCTTGTTATGAAAATGTTCCCAACTGAATTACTTTGCAATAATCTGAATTCTTTTCTGAACCATCC